TAAAATATGGTTTTCTCTATTTCCAGTTAGTGATCTAGTCCCCAGGGAACTCCTGATGCTGAGACTGCAACTCCATCACTTAGTACCTGTGTGATATGTATCTCAGTTTGCTCGTTGATCAAATAGGAATCATTGAATCTACTCACTAAAGCTACAGGGAAGATTAAGCAATGTGTCCATAAGACATTTAAACTCTGGCTCATAGTCAAAGCTTCATAAATGTTAACAAAATTTCTTAGGAAAAAAAGTTTTGGAATACAGAGTGTCCCCAAATCTTGTGCTCACTGTGGTTTCTCTCCAGGAATATGAGTTGATTATTAATATTTCATTTTCTAAAAGATCAATATTAACTTTAAAATCTTGTCATATTAGCATTGAACAATTAATGACATTCACTAAATATCAATGATTGTTCGATTTAGCAAAATAAATACATTTTAAAATTTCATTCACTTAAAAAGAAGATCTACTTGCAGAGCATATTTTCATAATCACCCACATCCTTAGTTTTTTTCCTTGTAAGAAAAAAAAAAAAAAACTGATAAATTTTCCATATGGCATTAATAAGGAAGGGAGAGAAAAAAAGGAGTTACTTTTCAGGATTAGGAACAAATTATACTGTTTTCCTTTTACTATGATCTCCCATTTCCAAAACGAGGAAGAAACGGAGAAAGCCAAGGTATTGTGGGCAATTAACCAGACTATGACACCTAAATCTGCAGTTCTCCCTCATTCTTCCTTTTTTCCTGGCATTTCTCTGGTAGTATGGCTGTGAGAAGTGGGTGAGGAATGTGGGGGTGATGTTCTACCCTGACTTAGAATAAGAGTTAATGAAAATGTGACTTAAAATATGGGTTTGTGTAAATGTACATTTACCACTGTTTGATTTGGACGTGAAATTCTTTGCGTTTTGGTATTATTTCATTATACTCACCACTGACATCTGTTTCAAACATGTTTTCAGAATCTCTCTATTGATTGCGTAATACTGAGAAAAAGTTTCCTAAACTATGTTTTGGCACAGTTCCTCATTACCGTAATCTTTATCTACCCCCTCAGCACTTGAAAAAAGAAAGCTTGCCTCATATCTGTCTGCCTCAAACATGTGTGCTGATATTCTAAATAAATAGGAGAGCTCATAGGAGGACTTGATATAATGAAGGAGCTAGAAGCATCTAAAGAACTAGATACGATTTGCCCCAAAGCCCCCAAGTTAGAGGAAAGGCTCAAAGTACTGACAAATAAAGCTTCTGTGATGCTCTTTATGAAAGGAAACAAACAGGAAGCTAAGTGTGGCTTCAGCAGACAGATTTTGGAAATACTAAATAGTACTGGGATTGAATATGAGACATTTGATATATTGGAGGATGAAGAAGTTCGGCAAGGATTAAAAGCTTACTCCAATTGGCCAACGTACCCTCAGCTGTATGTGAAGGGGGAGCTTGTCGGAGGACTGGACATTGTTAAGGAACTGAAAGAAAATGGGGAGTTGCTGCCTATACTGAAAGGAGAAAATTAATGAACGTTAGACTTGGTGCCCACCCACTGCAGGAAGGCTTCCTCCAGCGGAGCAGTTCAGGATTTAGTCCTCAGAAACGGACTAGGAGGAGAAAATGCTCATCCCGTTACGCTTTGCGTATTTCACAAGGCTGTGCTAAATAAGTATGTGACTTTTTTTCCACCAAAAATACAACGCAATAAACATCTTCAAGTTCANGTTCAATAAAAAAAAAAAAAAAGGCAAAGGCGTGAGAGACACACCCTCGGTGTAAGGATGTTGCTGCCAGGGCTGGGGGAGCGTCATGCACTTTTCTTCTTCTTTCCAGTCTATCTTGGCTGCACTGGGTCTTGTTGCCGCGCAGGCTTCTCACTGTGGGGCACAGGCTCCCGCCCGCGGGCTCAGCAGCCGCAGCGCACAGGGGCACCTCTCGTGGCAGAGCTCGGGTTCTGGACTGTGGGCTCAGCAGCTGCGGTGCAGACTTGGTTGCCCTGCGGCAAGCAGGATCCTCCCAGACCAGGGATCGAACCCCACGTCCCTGCGTTGACAGGTGGATCCCCAACCACTGGAGCACCTGACAAGTCCCTCGAAGCTTCGACAGGGAGGACACGGAGCTTGGGATGCTGCCTGGACCCCTGAGAACCACCCCGCCCCCACACATCCTGCAGCCCTCAGACGGTACATGGCTCGGCGAGGCGGGGATGACCCGAAGGCAAGTGGGGTCCACTCCTGCCCTCCCACCTGACCCTCGGGGAGCGGCCTGCACCTCTGCACCGGCGCAGGACTCCTGGGGCGTGGCCGGGCAGGGACAGGGCCTCCACTGCGGCCCTAGAGCCACGCCCCCCGCTCACATGCTACAGGTGCTCCCCAGCCCCGCAAAGCCCAGTGTGGAGGGCAGAAAGGGTCACTGAACCTAAAACAGGAATCAGGACTGAACTCCTGATCAGAGGTCACGACGGAAGTCCTGATACCAGCAGCAGGTGCTCCCACATGACAAAAGTCTGTGGCCAGGTTTTCCCGCCCTGCACTGCCATGGGGTCATCCACGCTTCCCCGAACCCTGGTGCCACTGAAGGAGATGAGAACGAGGGGTTACAGGAAGAAGCCTTGAAATGACTGAGGTCACAAGAGGAACTGGATCTGAACAGACCGGACACTCAGTGATGGGACAGGACACAGGTCTGCCCGAGGCAGGTGTCTGGGGCTCCAAAGGAAAGTGGAGTTCAATTTTAGAAAATCAAGAAAGCTGAAATTATTTTTCATTCAATTGCATAAAGTATATATTTTACAAGTGTTCCCTGCCCACCCCTCAAGGTCTTGTTTAAAACTTTTCAGCACTACCTCTTTGTACTCAAAGTCTGAAATCTTTTCGTGGCCCTTGGGGTCCTGATGACCTGCCTCCCGGCCGCCCCTCCATCCTCAGCACCAGCCGGTGCAGGCAGCACAGGGGGGTCAGAAATGTGGACTCCAAGGTGAGTCTGAATCCTGGCTCCTGGGTCTGTCCCTTGTCAGCTCTGCACCTGTCCCCTTGCAGGTAAAACAGGGGCCACAAGAGAGAGCTGGTGGCAAAGGACACTGCTTCCTTGATAGAGAGCAGTGTGTCTAGACATGCACTCTGGCTTCCTTCTCTCAACTAGAACTTCCCAAGGATTGCTAACTAGGGTTCCGAGGTCTGCCTCCCTCCCCTCCGCCGTGTCCTAGCACTGCAGGGCCCTTCGTCCCCAGCTGACTGCAGCGCAGCTCAGAGGACAGCACAGGAAGCCCTGAATGGTGCTGTGTTCGCATCTCCATCATACACTGGTCACCTAACCTACGCTTGGTGGCATCTCTATTTTTTTAAAAAAACTTTATTTTTGGCTGCACTTGGTCTCCATTGCAGCGCATGGGCTTGCTCCAGTTGCAGTAGCCAGGGGCTACTCTTCATTGTGGTGTGCGGGCTTCTCACTGCAGCAGCTTCACTTGTTGCGGAGCAGAGGCTCCGGGGCGTGCGGGCTCCAGTAGTTATGACACATGGGCTCAGGAGAGCACAGGCTCAACAGCTATGGCGCACAGGATTAGCGGTTCCGTTGCACGTGAGACCTTCCCGGACCAGGGATGGAATTTGTGTCTCTTCTACCGGCAGATGGATTCTTCACCACTGAGCCACCAGTGAAGCCCAGCATCTCTCTTTTTACCAAAGCAGATGTTCAGTTAATGACCAAAAAGCCGCATCTAAAAACTGACTTGATGGTCTTGGTCTCAGGATAGGTCTCAGGTGTGGTCTTGGCCAGATCAGAGCCAGGAAAGGCTGAGGTGGGCCAGATGCTCACCTGTTACACCCTCGGGTGTCCACTCACGTCTTCTCCTGACCTTCCCTGAGGCTGAAATGAATTCGTTAAAAAATAAATGGACAAGGGAAACTGTTCACAGATGAAAAAGTGGAAAAACCTGGCAAACGTGAGGACTGGGATAGTCAGAAGTGAACATCCCCGTGGTCGGATGGGGTGCGATCGTTCGCCAGTGATGAGCACGGCACCATCCATGTGGTGTCATCACCAAGGAAGCAGGACCTGACTCCGGTCCTGAGAGTCACGTTATACGAATGAGAGTCTGGACTTTTCATAAAACCGTCTGGGACAGGACGAGAATGAAAGTGTAATAGCAGATGAGCTCCTGGAGCAGAGAGGAAAGAGACACCACAAAAAGCCAAGCGGGGTCTGCGGGTCGGACCTTAACGTGGGGTCGCCACCGATTCCGCGCCTGGGTGGCTGGATCAGTCACGGAGGGAAAACACGCGGGCGACAAGAGTGGGGTGACGGGGCGCCACGGGCGTCAGGTGCAGGCTCTCCAGTGGCCCGGAGCAAGGCTAAGGGAGACGGCGCACACACGGGGAAACGCGCGCAGGAGACCCTGCGGTTTCCTCATCTGTGAACTTGCCCTCTTGCTCAAGTTCACCTGTGACTCCAAAATCAGCGCCTGGGTGCTCTCCCCGCCGTCCCTGCGCACAGCTCGGAGAAACGCCCACGCCGGGCCCAATGCGCCCGCGCTGACGCGCCTCGCCGTGACTCGACAGCTCAGAGAAGCCGCGCGACTGTTCGAGAAGAGGCGAGGCGTGGGCGGGCAGCGGAGGGCGCGATTGGTCGGCCCGCGGTGACGTATTGGCGCGCGCCGGGAACGCCTCGCCGAGGCCGGGCGCCATTGGCTGGCCCGCAGTGACGTATAGGGGCGCGCCGGGAACGCCCGGAAGGCGGTAGCGGTCGGGCCCGGCGGCTACGGATAAATAGCCCGGAGGCCGGGCGCCGGGATTCCGCTCCTCGGTGGGCTCGGGTCGGCCGCGGTTGTCGCTCGGGTTCTGTTCTCCGCGTCCCTTTGGCCTTGTTCGCCGCGGACAGGAGGCTCAAACTCTCGGCCACCGCCGCCTTCCGCTCTCCTCGGCGGCTGCCCGGGCCTCTTGGAGGGGCGGGGTGCGGGGCCGGGTCGGGGACGCCGGGCGGGGGGTCCGGCCGGGCCGCAGACCTCGGACGGCAGGGCCCCCGTGTCCCAGCACACCGGGGCTCTTGCTCCGCGGACGCAGCGCCGACAGCGCGACCACGGAGGGATCGAGGTGGGTCTCTGGTCGGTCCTCGAGGGAGCGGTTCCTGCACACCCGCTCGGTGTTGTTGACCCCTGGAGCCGAGAGACGCGTGCGAAAGCCGAGCAAGCGGGTCCTGGGGAAGGAATTCCAGAATAGAGGAAATGAGGGTCGGGCGAGGTGAGGCGGGGGTTAGTGATGCTCTAACCCGAGGCCTGAGGGCTGGAGCGGGTGTGAGCCGTGGCCAGAGTGTCCCAGGCACCGGGACGCCCCCAGGAGCGGAGAGACCTGTCGGGCGAGCCGGGAACGCCCTGGGGACGTGGATTCTGGGAGGGACCAGAGTTCCGAGAGTGGGTGCTTGATGGGAGGGGAGCCTGTGAGGCGTCCCGGGGACTTCAGTTTTTTCTCAGGTGCAGTGACCTCACTTTCTATACCTGTTTTCCATTGGCGAGTTAACTTCTTGCCCTTCCCCCTAGTCAACTCCAGGTTGAGTGCCATTAAGGAGTAAATTCTAAGTAAGACTCAGTGCATCAGGGAGTTAGAGGGAGCAGCAGGGGACTGAGTCGAATCTCTTCGGGTTAGTGCAGTTAATTAGTGTGATTTAGCACCTGGTAACGGAGTTTTGTTAATGTCAACAAGTATATTCAGTAGATGAAATTGGAATTTAAAGTTCACCAAAGCTGTAACTTTCTCTGGCGATTGTGTAAATTGAATATGAGGCGTCCTTATCAACATGAATCAAAATATGGATTAATGAAAACCTAAATTCGGGTTGAGCTTCATAAACTAGAAATTAAAAAGACTGAAAAACAGCCTCTTAATGGGGTTAATTCTGAAGGAGCTGGTACTTAAGACTAAGACGCCCATTTTCTCTTTGCTAAAAGACAAGAGTCGGGGTAGGTACTCTTTTGCCCCCTTCTGATGCCTATGTCAGAAGCTTTCTCTATCTCCTTTATACTTTAATAAAACTTTATTACACACACACACAAAAAAAAAAAAATAAAAAAATAAAAGACAAGAGTCTGTGAGGCTTTAGCCCCCTGTGGGGGCCCAGCTGACTTGGGTGTTTACAATGTGTGTTTACTTTGATGACCTGTACAATATAAATCCTGGTGACTGAAATTCAGGACATCGTTGCTTTCCTCCTAATTTTTTCTAATTCTTGCAGGTGACGTTTTACTCTGCCGTCTGTGTTTTGGACACGTTCTTACAATGGAGTTCCCTGATTTGGGGAAGCACTGTTCAGAAAAAACGTGCAGGCAGCTAGGTAAGCACTTTTAAGAGAACCTCAACAGAAAATGGGCGTTTTGTCATCTGCTTGCCGGGAGAACTGGACATTGTCTTCATTAGCTGATGTTTTTTGGGTCTTGGCCGTTGTGGTTCTTAGCGATAAGATGCTGGCCTGAGGTTGAGGTTCTGTACCGCTAGGTACGAGGCTGGCTGCCAGCACTGGGTGGATAGAAGAGCACTGCTTAGACACTCGGAGTACCACCTGAGCTGGGATCCCTTTGGAAAGGGTAGCTGTACCAGTTCTGCAGTGTTGCTGACATTGTGAAATTCACGGATCCCAATTATTTTATTCTCATGTAATACCTTGAAGATGTATTTGATAGGCGTAACATGAAGTCAGGGAAGGTAAATACTTGTTTAATATGACATATGATTCTTTTGTTCTAGTCTTTAAAACCCTTCACTGTTTTTTTGGTTTTTTTTTAGATTTTCTTCCGTTAAAATGTGACGCGTGTAAACAAGATTTCTGTAAAGATCATTTTACCTACGCTGCACATAAGTGTCCCCTTGCATTCACCAAGGTAATCAATCATACTTCGTTCTGAAAATTCTGATCCTCCCTCTCCAAAGCTGCGCTGCCCGAGATCGTGGACGTGAGCCCCACATAGTCGAAGCTCAGCTGGTGTGAAAGGAACCGTGAAGTCCGTTGCTCAGTCACACCAGCCTCATTTCGGGCCCTTGGTAACCATGCGTGGACAGGGCAGGGAGGAGCATCCACCTTCCCAGGAAGCTTGGGCCGCGTAGCTCTAAAACCACAGGGTTTTCTCGAGGGTTTCTGGAATCAGTTGTATTCAGACCTTCAACGCTTACTTAACACATTAAAATGTTTAGTTCTTTTTATTCAACACACCAAGGGAGAACCGCTCTGTCTTCCTGCGGGGCTTGATGGGACCCGTTTGGGAGGAACTGTGCATGCTCTCTTTCGGGGTCACTTCGCAGCCTTGGCCTCTGCTTCAGCGATTCAGACGGGACCTGGTGGAAACTGGGCTATGGCTGAAGGAAGCCGACTTACCTAAGTCCAGAGGTGTGAGACCTGGGTTGTTGACGTTTCAGGGGGTCCCAATCTGAACTCACTTGTTTTGGGTGCTTCTGGGAGCGGTTTCCTGTGATCTTTGGCCAGCACTCTACTGGTTCCCCGAGGTGGCAGTTTAGAGGTGCAGATGATGGTATTTCAGGCTTTGACCTGTGTGGGCTGTGGTCTGGACCTTCACTGATTTGAGGGGCGGGGGACAGTGACTCATGTTCGCCCAGCACCAAGGACCAGGCCACACTGTGGTTTTGTTGACGTGACCTTCCCGTTTCCCTGGACTGGGTGACTCTGCCTAGACATGACTCAGCACTGCTTGCTTTCTTAACTCGCCCACTGGCCAGCCGCGAGAGCACCCCCGGGTGGCTTTCCAGCTTGGCTTCCAGACACTCTGGGGCTGCCTGTCACTCGCCCACATCATGTCACCTCAGAGCACTCCTTGAGCGAAGCTAGCTCAGCCCTGGCCCTGAGGGATGCCAGCCATGCCAGGCGTGCCGCTGCTGGGTGCCCTGCTGCTTCCTTCCAGAGCCCCCGTCCTGGGCTTGGTGGGTGGTGCTGAGCCTGAGAGCTCAGCCGGGCCGCGTCTGAGGTGTGGGCATGGAGGAAGCCCTGTGCGCATCGGGAGGGCTGCTGGCGGGCGGGGCCGGGGCTCCTCTCTGGTGGCGTTTGCCCCCCAGCAGCCCCGCCTGCCCTGGAGGCGTCAGGGCAGCTTCTCCGCTCACCCCTACTGCTGGACAGACAGCCCTGCCATCCCGAGACCGGCCCTCTGGACTGCTCACCTGCTTCCCTCCTGGGTGGCCTTGCCGGCTCCCTTAGGGTCGTCTCTGTGGGCGGGTGACAGTCCATTGTGCGTCAGTTCCCCTGGGGTCCCCCCGAGCTGGCTGACTGCAGCTCAGGCTGCCGTTGGCCCTCCTGTGACGGCGAGGCCAGCGTCTGTGCCATCCCTGCGTGACTGCGCCCCGGCCCTTTCTGTCGTGTGCGTGCATCTCTGCTCTCTGATTAGCCCTGTCCTCTTGTTTGTTATTTTAGGATGTTCGGGTCCCGGTGTGCCCACTCTGTAACAGCCCCGTCCCAGTGAAGAAGGGGGAGATCCCTGACGTGGTGGTCAGTGCGCACATGGACGGAGAATGTCGGCGTCCTCCCGGGCAGGAGACGGCGAAGGTGAGGCGGGGCCCTGGGTGCTGCTTCCTCCTAGGGGAGAAGCGCAGTTATCCGCTCAGGCTAACTACTTACAATAGTTTTTGCATAAAATTAAACCCTAACAATAGTTGGTGATGGGCAGGGAGGCCTGGCGTGCTGCGGTCCATGGGGTGGCAAAGAGTTGGACACGACTGAGCGACTAAACTGAACAATTGTTCAGTGTTTTCCTGGATTGTGAACAGCGTAGGTTTTCACAGTTCTACCAGCATATTTCCTCAATATCAGGGTCTACATTAGGATCTGCTTTTGTTACAGGCATCTCACTATTTCTACTAAGGTGGAAAGTTAGTGTGGTTTCTGGGAATCGCTGCCCACGTGCGCCTTTTTTCTGAGCTCCCCAGGAGACGGCGTAGCACATACTGATGACACGCAGACCCCAGCACGCGTGTCTGTCTGTCTGGAGCGGACGGGTGCCGCCTGCGTTCCCCGTGGGCTGAGTCCAGCCTGTGTGCCGTGTGTGCCTGTCCCGCGGGGGTTGCTGCCCAGCCCGGCACCCTCGCTCCGGCGGTGCTCCTGGCGCTCGTGGGCGTTGGCAGTTTTCCCGCTTCTGCTGCTGCTCGGGGGCGCCCATGAGCGACCGCTGTCCTTGACCAGGTGTGGCAGCCTCGCGGACAGGGAGCCCCGCGCCCGCTCTGGACCGCGCTCCGCCGCGCTGGTCCTCCCAGCCCTGCCTCCTTCCCCCTCAGGTTCGCTCCTCTCTGTCCCCCGTGCGGGGGCTCTGTCCTGGGTCCTGAGCAGTCTCGGGCTCCCTGGGGTCAGGGCAGCTCTGCTGCGGGGGTGGGGGAGGGGGTCTCCCGGAGGCACAGCCTCCCCTGGCCCCTCCCGAGCCTCCAGTGCTGTGGTTTCTGAGCTTTTGGGGAGCTTGTGTCACAAGCAGGCTGCCTCTTGGCCCTCCGCACCAGCTCGCAGGGTTTCACGTCTACTGAGCAGGTCCTGCTTGTCCGTGAGCTTTCCCTAAAGTCGTGGTTGTTCCCTTTTATCTTTCACAGTTTTGCATTCATCCCTCTTCAGAACGTCTCTTTGTGGTCACTTTAGAACTTCAGGCAGAGTAGGAGCCACCCTCTGTGGTCACCTCCGTGTCTGAGGAGCCCCAGGTTGGCCACGGCCTCAGCAGACAGCACGTGGTGGCCTGTCCCACCCTCAGATGGGAGGCTCGTGGGCCTCCCGCACGTCCCCGTGCCCGGCCCTGCGCTGTGCGCTCGCCGGGCCGGCTCGGGTGGTCCTCTGGGATGCGGGCCGCGCGGCCCCCTGCTCTCAGCCTGCAGCACGTCTCCAGGGCCCGGCTCCTGTGAGGCTGAGTCACCGTCTCCAGTCCTCCGCTGTCTCAGTGCACCAGCAGCTCCCTGCTTCCCACGCTCAGTGCAGGGCAAACACAATTATGACAAATAACCTGGAGCAGGAGAAGGCGAAGCCCGCCCGGAGCCTCCATTCCAGGCCCTCTGATCGGACCCCCTGCCATCCCGTGACCTCCCAGCCCTCACCCCTGCCCCCGGTCCCAAGAACCCCTCTCCGAACCCCCACAGCCCCGTGTGCTCTGGCCCCAAGACCCCCACCAGTCCTGCTGCCCTGTTTGGGGCCCTTGTGAGCCTCTGGAGCCTTTTGTAAAGCCTCCCTGCCTTCCCGAGACCACGGCCCCCCCGTGCCCTCCCCAGGTGGCCGGGCCCCCTCCTGGTGTCTGCGCTTGCTTGGTCTCTGCCCGCCAGCCCCTTTCTGTCCCGTGCCCGGTCACGGCCTGCCTTGGTGGAGGGCCGCCCCCAGGCTGCCGACACTGCCTCCCCCGTTGCCAGCTGCACAGCTGGGAGTGCCTGGCAGTTTATGGCACCCAGAGACCGCCCCGTCCCCGGGGCCCTCCCGGCTCCCCTCAGGCCGCGTGCGTGGCTGTCTCTCCCTGACCCTGTCTGCCCCCACCCCATCTCGTTTCTCTCAGTGGGAGCACCCCCAAGCATCCCATGTGAGTCCCCAGCTTAAAGTGCTGGCTTTGTGTCTGTCATCTGTTAAAAGTATCCTTAATTAGCATTCTTAGCCAGTATTTCTCTGTTTACCTGACAAACTTCAGTGAAAGCCCGGTGCCTTCATACTGTTTCGCTAAGAGCCGCCTCTGGTTTGAGTGTTGAGGGTCTTGCTCGGGGGCTGGCTGAGTGATTGCTCAGCGAGGCGGTTGGTACACTGGGGCGACTTGTCCTTTCACAGGTGTTCACGTTCCGCTGCTCCAGAGAGGGCTGCAGGAGGAGGGAGATGCTGCGGGTGGCGTGTGAGGAGTGCCGCGGCAGCTTCTGCCTCCAGCACAGACACCCTCTGGACCACGGCTGCGCCCGCGGAGGCCGCCCCGCCAGCTCAGCCGGGTGAGGGCGGCCTCACTCAGCCTGCGCATGGGGACCACCTGGACCGGGAATTGGGTCCCACGCTTGGCCATGGGGGTGGAATATGTGCTGTGGGGTTTGGGTGACTGTGATCTAAATTAAAAGTGGACCCAGAATTGAAGTTGGATTCTAGTCGTCGTTTGCTGGAACCTCAGTTCTGAAGCTAGAAGCCATGTTCGTGGTGCAGGCGGGGGTGGGCTCCTTTCCGGGGCCACGGGGAGGGTCTGCCTGGGCGCCCCCTTTGTGGAGAGTGGTCCCCGTCTCCCTGGGGCTCCCTGGCCTCTGCCTCCCATGGTGTTGTCTCTGTGTGGTGGTCGCCAAGTAGTCGTCGTTTGCTGGAACCTCAGTTCTGAAGCTAGAAGCCATGTTCGTGGTGCAGGCGGGGGTGGGCTCCTTTCCGGGGCCACGGGGAGGGTCTTCCTGGGCGCCCCCTTTGTGGAGAGTGGTCCCCGTCTCCCTGGGGCTCCCTGGCCTCTGCCTCCCATGGTGTTGTCTCTGTGTGGTGGTCGCCAAGTGTCCCCTTGGCAGCCCAGCAGTCTGTGGGGCCAGACAGTGACCCCCCACGCTGTGAGCTCGGCTACACACCATGCCAGCCGCCTGCCCTCCCCGTGGGCCTGGGGGTTGCTGCGCTCTGGCCACCTTGTGATGGCGGCCCAGCCCCTCCGCTGGCTGGCAGCCAAGAGGGCCCCTCGGGAACATGGAGCGTCTGCCCCCACCTGCCGCAGGAGGAGTGGAAGCTGGGTCCCCTGCCACCGTCTCTGACTGTCTCCCGTGTTGTCTGCCTGAGCCAGGCGGAGGGTCCTCTTGTCCCTGCGCGGGTGGCCTCCATGCTAGAGGTGAGGAGTTGGCGGAACGCTGACCTGAGCCTTCCCCACAGGTGCTTGGATCCCGGGCCATCGGGGGCTTCCCGCGAGGGGCTGGGCGGCTGGCTGGCCCGGCACTTCAGGTACGGCCCAGGACAGGCCAGGGGGACGGTCATGCCGAGCGGTTCTTGGGCGGCTCCTGCCTGCCCACTGGGGCTCTGCACCCCGTCCCAGCTAGACGGCGGAGGGGGTGCACGCCTGCCTGCAGGCTCCTCAGCCCCAGGGTGACCCCGAGAGACACTGCACAGCTGTGGTCTGAAGACCTGTGTGTGGTCAACGTTTTGTACGTGATCACCCGTTTGTAGTTAATCCAGACAAATCTGAAAACATAAGCTGTTTTCTTCTCTTTCAGATTCAAAGTAAAGCCATGACGTGATTGATCCTGCCCAGACTGGCCTGTTCTCGTATGTTACCTGCACTTTGCGGGTAACTTTATGCCCCAGCAGGTCCCTGCTTCCCACACGAGCAGGTCTGGCCTGGGTGTCCGTCAAGGGGCTTCTGTCACTCAAACCATCGACAGCGGGTCACACGACATCTTCCCCGTGCGGCTGCTGTGGTGATCGGCCATCGATCCCAGGTGGACGGGGACTGCCTGCCCCGTAGGGGTCCTTGTCCAGGTGGCCCACCGCTCTTGCTGCACCGGGAGGATAGCCGTGACCCTCTGGTTGCAGGCGTTGCGGTGACGCCAGGAGACTCTTGCCTCGCGGGGCTTCGGGAGCCAGGAAAGCCGATGGAGAGGATGCAGTCTGGTTGGGTCCCCATCATAACCCACGGAGCACACAGCCTGGATGCCAGACAAAAACCCGCACAGCTACCCCTTGTTTTCTGGGTCTAGAGCCTCAGGATATGATGGAGGGGCGGTGTGTTGGGGTCCTAGTCCGCAGGTGGGTGATGCGGCTGTTTGTGGCCTCATCTGGTTAGTGGTGGCAGGTCTAGGCTGCTGGCTCTCTAGATGTGCCAGGGCTGCCCCCGCCGCATTCCTGATGTTGTGGGCCTCCGGGCCACGTGCACAAAGCGCTTCCCGGGGTCCGGGTCCACTGGCGGCCACTAGCTGGTGTTCGGAAGCACCGGTGAGTGTCGGGGACTGGAGTGTGTGTTTCTCAACTGCGAGGTTCATGGTGTCTGTACACAGGTCAGGTCTTCCTCAGGAGAGGTTAATGTCCAAACTGAGACTCGGTAGCGCTGGATTTTGAAGACAATACCAAAAAAAAAAAGTCTTGTTACAAATATTTACTGGTTGAAATAGTATTTTGGATACAATGGATTAAATAAAGTATTAAAATGAATTTACTTGTTTTTGTTTTGTGTTTTAATTGTGTCTACTAGGAATTTTAAAAGTAGGTAGACCTTGCGTCATATTTTCTCTTAGCACTATTCTTCATCATCCAAACTAAAGGACAAAACTATGCCACATTATCAGTGATTATCAACTTACACGAGTGCACTCATGTTTCTCAACTGTGATTGGAATGTTTAAGTGTGTTTAAGACCTTTCTGAGAAGTTAGCATTTTCCTGAAGGCCCTGTGTGAAGAGACACTGGAATGGCACAGAAGGGTAAAGGCCAGGACAGCAGACACCTGCGGGGCAGTCCCTGCTGCTGTTTACAGAGGCCGCTGCCCCCAGGCCTGGTCCTTGGAGCGCCGCTGTGCTGGAGGGCTGTGTGTCAGGGTTGGGTGCGAGGACCCGAGGGGGCACCCAGGACGTCACACCGACTCCCTCCCCGTCAGTTTCCGCACACCCCCAGCAGCTGTTTCACGGGTTCAGTTCATGTGATGCAAACATGGTGTCAGCAGGTCTGCCTTGATGAGCAGAGCCGAGCATTAGTTCTGAGAATTCCTTCTGGACATGACCACGTGCCAAAGGATGGAGTCACAAGTGCATTTTAAATTTTTGTAGGAAGTGCTGGTATTGAGAGAGTTTTGAGTGCCCCTTTTTAAGTGTCACAGGTCTGCGTGCGTTTTTGAGAGAAGGCTGCCTCAGCTGCTGGGAGCGACCTTGAGCACGCTGTGATGTTGGCCGTGGTTTCTTCACCTGGGATGGGGCGAGGCTGGCGCTCAGCCTCAGAGCTGCCCGAGGCGCAGGGCTCACCAGGTGTGCAGGCTCTGCCCGGGCCTCGGTGCCCGGCGCTGGGCCCACCACCACCCCCCTGCAGGAGGAGGGTCAGGCCGGCCTTCTCAGCAAGTCCACGTGTCTCTCGGGAGTGTGTGGGGGAAGGCAGGGCCTTGGGGCAGCTGAGCGTGTTCTCCGCCGCCTGGAGTCTTCACCACGTGCAGCCACACCCTCCCTGCTGCCGCCGTTGTCCTGCCTCCGTGAGAACCGTGGGCAGGGCCAGGCTGCCTGCCCAGCGCCCCATGTCCAGTGACCAGTCCTGCCGACCAAGCTGGTGCAAGGCTGCCGTATCAGACGTGCCCACGAGGTGTCACCAGAGGGCCTCTGAGAAGCAGGGAGCAGGCGACTGGGACCTTCATTCGTGCAGGAAACCATGTCCAGGCGCCAGGAGGGGCGCAACCAGTCCCATCAGCCCCAAGTCAGTGTTTGCGGGTCGTCCGTGTTCAAAGGGATTGGGGTTTCTTAAGTGTATTTTCTAAAGTAGTTTTTACTGGATTTACCTGCTTTACTGTGCTGTGTCTCTACCGTACGGCAGAGTGAGCCAGCTCTGCCTTTACATGCGTCCTCTGTTCTGGATCCCCTTCCCAGCTGGGTTACCACGCAGGCCTCAGGGCACTTCCCGCGCTGGGCAGGAGGCTCTCACCAGCCGCCTGTCAGACGTCCTGTGGATGGCGCCTGCATGTCAGCCCCCGCCTCGCAGTCCTGGCCGCCACCCCTTCCCCCTCGGTATCCATGTTTGCTCTTGACCAGGCTTCCACGTTCCTTCTTCATGGCAATGCTGCGGCCTAATCTGGAAGGTGGGTTCTGAAGGGAGTTTCTGAGCTAGTCTCCGTTTTCCAGGTTTGAAGCCACACAGTGAGGACTGTGGACCTGGGCCCAGCACTGCAGCTGCCCTGAGACGGGGGTGTCGTGAAGGCGGCGGGAGCAAGGCGAGGCTGACTCTCCCGCTTGGTCGGGTGTGAGTGTCCGTGGGTAAGTGCCAACTTACTGCTTTATTTCATCGCAAGGCTGCGGTCAGCCACCGAGGTGTGCTGTGTGAGGGGAGTGGGTGCCGTGGAGGAGCCGAGGGGAGCGGGGGCCGCGGGGCCGCAGGGGGCGGGATGTGCAGGCAGTTGCTCTTCAGTCCTCCCAGCGGCCAGGTGAGCAAGCTCGGAAGTGTGCCCCGGGCGAGCCTTCCCGTGGACTCCAGCCCTGGTGCCATCTCGGCCCAGCTTGTGGGGCCCCCGAGGCTGAGCACAGAGCTACGTCACGCCCATGTGCCCACCCTGCAGATACTGTGAGATCATAAATGTTTGCAGTTTTCAGCTGCAAAATTATGTTGATGTGTTGTGCAGAAATAGAGAACACCACCATCTCCGGTCATGAAGAAGCAGCTTTGCCGCCCTCGCTCGGTCCCTTGGGTTGGGAGGCAGCATGGCTCACATTTAACAGGGCCGTCACTCATTTACAGGGTGACTTGGAAGTCGCTGGTTTTGAGTGGGGCCCAAAGGAAGAGGTCAGTTTGTAGTACAGATGGTCCTGCACTTGAGTCATGAAACTTGGGAAACCTGAGAATCACACACCAGACTAAGCCCCTGACAGGCTCACTGGTGTTCGCCCGTGACTGTGGAACCTTGGGCCAGATCCATTTCACCTGCTCCATTAATCAAGTCGTTTGAAGACTTTCTCTTCCTCGAGGCCTCACAGAGCCTGGACGATGAGATGCTCACCTGAGTTGTTTTCCAGGAGCCTGGAGTCAGCTGGGCCGGGTTCCTCCTGAGCTGGTTATGAGTGGATGGGACCTCCAAGCCTCCACGGGGCAAGCACGAATCTCCTGTCCATGATCTTTGACATCAGAGCTAACTTCACCCTTAGTCTCTAAGTGCATCCACTTTTGAACATGCAGAGGCCTGTAGCGAGGTTAACACCTTCATGGAGTGAGATTATCCCAGCTTTTTCCCATCACGTCTCCCCACACTCCCCATCCATCCAACCTCAGGCAGCCCTCCTTCTTTATCCCATAAGTGCCCTGGGCCCCTTGCCTTCGTGGAGGTGGAGCTGAGGTTTGTTCTTCCGTCTCTTTGCTTGGCTGATTTCCTCAGCGTGTTGGTTAGCTGTGCTTCTGGCAAAGTGAGCCTGGTCCGGCAGTAGTCGGAGCAGTCCATTCTCAGATCCACGGGGCTCTGTTGGGTGGGTGTGTCAGCAACCCAGTGCATGCTGACGGTGGTGGTTTTTCTTGCTTTTCTATCCCACTGTCTGTCTCCTGTGTATGTAGCTACTTTCTGTTGACTAGCGGTCATGCTATATGAGCAATTACAATCTGAGGTGTGGGACTTGATAGTCTTCTAAACTTGATCTTTTCTTCTTTCAGCCCACAAGCGGCACCAACAATAAATCCTGAATCATTTAAATGCAGTTTCAGAAATTGAGATGAATTCAAGGTGGATTTTATGCATTGCCTGTAAGAGCTGGTCTCTCTTTATATTCATGCCTACAGTGTAGCTTTTCAGGATTTCAACCCAAAGATGGGACGCTTACAAGAACCCTTCCTCTTGGCAGCCCTAAGCCTGCAAAGCTGACAAAATCTTTGTTCACATTCTCAGCCTTTCAGCTGTTTTGTTTCTTCCAGAACTGAGTGAAAAATGGCTCCAACCAGAAGGCTTACTTCTCTAGGTTTCCCTTCTTCCCCTTATTTTTTGGCTTCATGTCATCTATATATATATAAAACCATGTTTTTCAGCTATTTTCAATGGGAGGTTTTCAGGGGGTCACCTCTTCAGTTTCCAAACCAAGCTCTACTGCTTAGGGTGGCAGTAAAGCCAATCTACTGACACTGGGTTGTGGTGAAGGAAAATGCAGCGTTTGTTGCAGGCGCCAAACAAGGAGTCCAGGCAGCTGGTGCTTAAAAGACCTGAAGGCTTTCAGGGAAAGGTTTGTAAAGACAGTGAGGGAGAGGGTTGTGGGGTGGGTGATCAGCTTGTGGACATTCTTCTGATTGGTTGGTGGTGATGTAATCAGGACTCAGCATCCTCAGTACCCCAACCAGTCTGGGTCTGCGTGCTTGTGGGCAGCACACAGCTCAATTCCCTCAACTGCCGGGGCTTTCAGCAGCTACAAAATAGCTAAAAGGACATGGCTCAGAATATTACCTATAGCTCTTGAAGGGAACTAAAGGTCTTTGACTTTGTTTAATGGCTATTATTATTTCATCTTGCTTGAATGTTTTCCTTTCTGCATTTTCTGACTTCTCAGATTAAAGCTATTCATTTTTAAAGTTTTTCTACAGACAAAATGGAGGCACTGGACATGGAATGGGGGAGTCCTGTCCTAGAAATGTCCCGTAGGGTCCTGCTCACTGACAGGCCTAGGAGGCTGAGGCTTTTCTACAGACAAGAAGCAGGTGGAGGACATGGGGTGGGTAAGTGGCTGGAGTCTCTTCCCTTCCAGGAAGGCTCCATAGCGTCCTGTTGGGTTACAATACACAATAAACATATTTGTATTTTATACTCTATATTATTTAAGCTTGTATGTGGATGAGAACTTCATTTTTCAGTGATCAAGAAGCCAGCTGGAGCAGCTTGAAAACGGAATGGTTCTTCCTGGAGTCGGTAAATTTGAACATGCTTATACCGGTGGCCTAGTCTCCTTATGTGCATGAGAGGCAAGCAAGGTGTTTTATACAATCAGAAACAAGTTAGTTGTCTGTAGAAAGTGAAACTAGAAAGTCCTGGCTTGCTGCCCTGTCTTCCACCCCAAGAAGCCCCCTTGAATGCACAACCCCGTCCAGCTGTCCCCACCTCACTGTCCCCAGCTTAGAAGTCTGACCAACCAGCGGTGGGCGAGACTGTTTAATATTTCTAAGAGCCGAAAAATGATTTAACTCGTGGTTGGTTTCATCAGCGTGGCGCCGCCTCAGACTTCAGACGCCCGGGCGGTCGGGCCCGCATCCACCTTTATCCTCTCTCCAGGCGACCTAACCTGGGTTTACAGGTGTCTGCAGACACACCGCTGCACCGACAACTTGGCGAGCAGGCGCAACGCTGTGAGCGGGGAAGTGGAGGTGGTCTCAGCAGAAACGACAGGACGGGATGTTCCCCTGCGCCCACGTTCTGCTCTATGGACACAGCGGGCACAGGCACGGTGACACACCACGTCCCAAACAAGCACCCTCGAGCAAAGCTCCCCTCAAGCTTCAAA